TAGATTGAGTGCTGGCCTGCAAACCAAAATGTCACTGGTTCAATTCCCAGTCAGGGTACATACCAGGCTTGCAGGCCAGGTCCCCAACTGGGGGTGCTCGAGAGGCAACCAATCATTGTACCACATAGATGTTTCTCTCCCTTTCTTCCTTCTCCTGTCCCTAAAAATAAATAAAATCTTTAAAAAGAGAGAGAGAGACAAATTGGGTATTATCAAAATTAAAAAGTTTTTTGCTTCAAAGGACATCATCAAGAAAGTAAAAACCCACAGAATAAACATTTTTGAAGTACTTTATCTGATAAGAAACTTATATGGAATATATAAATAACTCTTAGAACTTAGTAATAAAAAGACAAATAGACCAATTAAAATATAAGCAAAAACTCTAAATACATATTTCTCCAAAGATTTATTGGTCATATAATGACTATATTGACCAATAACATACAAAACAGATATCAACATTGGTCATCAGGAAGTATAAATCAAAACCAGGATAAGCCACCACTTCACACTGACAAGGGTGACTATAATAATTATTTTTAATGGCTAAGAAAGGTTGGAAGATGTGGAGAAATTGGAACTTTCATACACTGTTAGTGGGAATGTAAAATAGTGCAGTCTCTATGAAATACAGTCTGACAGTGCTTCAAAGGGTTAAACATAGAATGACCTCATGATCCAGTGGGTATACCTACTCCTCGATATATACCCAAGAGAAATGAAAAATCCCCACCAAAACTTGTACACATATGTTTATAGTAGGATTATTCATAATAACCAAGTGTCCATTAATAGATGAATGTGTAAATAAAATGTGACATATCCATAATATGGAATATTTACAATAAAAGGAATGAAATACTGATACATGTTACAACGTGGGTGAACCTTGACAACACGCTAAGTGAAAAAAACACTCACAAAGGACCATATAATATATGCTTTCATTTATGTGGAGTGTCCATCATAGGTAATCTATAGAGACAGAAAATAGATTAGCGGTTGCTTGGGGTGACAGGGGTGGAGTGAGGGACAAGGAGTTATTGCTGATGTGTACAGAGTTTATTTTGTGGGGAGATCAAAATGTTTTAAAGTTTATTACGGTAATGGCTAAACAACTCTGTGGATATATTAAAATCCACTGAATTTTACACTTTATATATACTTTTTGACTTCTACAGTTTAAATACATGAGTTCTATGACATGAACTATGTATTGATAAAGATGTTATTTTTAAAAGGTGAAAGATTTATACAATCTGAAGAGAAACCGAAGTATTTTTTTAAAAATACTGGGCTAAGGAGACTTGACCAGTGTGCCTTTGTTGGTTGGTCATCGTCCTGCAGAGTGAAAGGTAACCAGTTCGATTTCCTGTCGGGCCACGTGTCTGGGTTGTGAGTTCAGTTCCCGGTCAGGGAGCATACAAAAGGCAGCCGATCAATGTTTCTCTCTCACATCAATGTCTTTCTTTTTTTCCTCTTTCCCCCTTCCTCTCTCTCTAAAAAATAAAATTAATTCAATAAGTAAAAGTAAATAATACTGTGCTAACGGAGAAAAGGCCCCTTTTGCAAACCTAATACAGCTCCTGGGTCACCCATCCACAACCTCTCATTCAGAAGACTCAGAAGAACTGACCTTATGAATGACATTGACACGTCTTTGGTCAAAATCAGTAGTGACCCACACTGGGCTCCCAATTTCCCTTCCACCAGGAGACTGAGTCGAATCTCAAGGAACATTTATCTCTGAAAGTGAGTAGACATTTTCTCTTAGAAGAAATCAGAAATGGACACACACATTGAACTTGCTGACAGAACCTTTGGTGGTGGTCTGCGACTGGGCAAGGCATGATGCGCCCACTCTCCCTGCACCCCTGTCAGGGACTCCATCTGCACACTGCTTGTTTGGGTTGGTTTAAGCTGCGAACAGATTTAAGCCTCTCTACACAAGCTGTGTATACATTCCAAACACAGACCATTTATCACCTTGGGGATGAAGTCTGACATAACCTTGTTCATAACATTTACTGATTCTTACTTGGCTCGTCTCCGAGGGTCCTAATGACAATTAAGAGGTAAGCTAATAGCAACACACTGTGGCCTGTCATTGTCACAGTTTGCGCTGCCACCATGTTATTGTTTACTATGTTTCTTTCCTTTTTTTAAAGTAATTATATTTAAGTGCCTAAAGCAAAAGCCAGTATCTCTTTTATTTTTTAATGTTCTTATTCATTGATTTAAGAGAGAGAGCGATTTGTTGTTCCTCCCATTTACACATGCCTCGATTGATTCTTCCACGTGCCCTGACTAGGGATAGAACCCATAACCTTGGCCTATTGTAATGACACACTAACCAACTGAGCTAGCAGGCCAGGGCCCAAGCCACTATGTCTTCACATAAATAAAAGATCCCACATGCAAATAAACCCAGGGAAAGCAGAATGTTACTTCTAACTAGTCACTGTTGACTGATATGACTCTGAGCCTGAGGCCTCATTGTTCAACTAGGAGATTAGCGGGAGTTTAAAAGGTGTTAAGGACCTGCTTGGAGTCAGCTGAGAAGTTCTCCTTGACTGAAACAGTGATTACATGAAAATGGAGAAAGTGGACATCAGAGAAGCCCTTTGTCTATTTCCTCCACAACTATTTACAGTGGCCTAATGTGCAAGGGTTCTGGGCTGCACAGGACAACCACAGGCCCAGTTCTTTCCAGGTTTGTGGTTGTGGATAACAACGTGTAAGAATGAAATAGAATCAGAAGCACCTTGCAGTGCCTCAATCATGGCAAACATGTACTACTCTGATGTTGCTCTTGTAGTTGTTGTTATTATTATTATTATTGTTAGTTTATTATTCCAGAGCAGGGCCTGGGCCTCTGGAGAAGGGTGAGGGTTAGGTTAGTCCGTGAACAGTTGTCTCTGTCATAACAGCCTGGCCAGGTATGTAGCACTCCGTCTCCATCAGTGAGCAGAGGCACAGGTGTGAGGGGAAAGCCTTTAGCAAGCTTACTGGGAAGGTGAGGGGCGTTGCTGGGTCAGAAAATGAGGTCAGGAGTAAACGTGCTCAGGCAAGTTTGAGATCTCTGGCTTTATTCATTTGCCACTTGGTAGCATTCCAGACACTGAGCTGGGCTTGTTGAGGATACTGCTACTCTCAAAGGGGTGATTTCACAGGGGATGAGAAGCTGCCAACAGAAGTAACTGTGACACAGGGTAGAACGAGGTGAATTCTTGTTCACTAAGATTCTAATAGGTGCAAATGACAGACACCTAATTTGGATCAGCAAAAGTAAGAATGAAAATGTATTGGTTCCCATATCTGATGAGTTCAGGAATAAATGGCTTCAGGAATGATTGGATCCAGGTGTTTCGATGATGTCAGAAATCTGCCTCTCCATCTTGTGCCTCCTCTGTGTTGGCTTAATTCCTAGGTGGTCTCTCCACTTAGCTAAAAGGGAGTCTCTTCTGTAGTTATTCCAGCATAAAGTAGGAGAATTGAGTCCCAGTTGTCCAAACTGGGGTGGAGGTCACTCTGGCAACTCACACTAACTGCAACTGGGGGAGGGGCAGTTCACCCGAGGGAACCTCAGGGTTAGAAAGGCTGCCTCACTGCCCACCAGAGTGCCCCCAGGAAGACAGAGGCTCTCAGAGAGGGTCACTTCAGCCAGGGAGTAGGGGCAGCCTTATGTGGCCACTTGGGGCTCTAGGGATGGGGTGAGGGTTCTCCTGCCACAGGTCCCTGCTCTGCATCTGGAGAGAAGAGGGAAAGGTATTTTTGAGAAGCCATCCTGTGCCCAGTTCTCAGTATCTTGGTTAATCTTCATAAGAACCCTCTCTCCTCAGGCAGATGGGAAACAGTCTCAAAAAGGTTAGACATTCCTCAGTGAGTCACACCTAGCACCCTCTTCTCCTGGACTCCTGACCCCATTCCAGTGTATGTCCACAGAGCAGACAGAGGGCTGTTTTCCAAAGGCAATTTGAATGGTATCACGCCCCCCCCCCCACCAAAGATTCAGTTCTCTTGGTATTGAAACCCAAATCCTTAATGTGGCCCACATAGCCCAAATCCCTGTCTAGCTTCCCTCTTTCAAAGGTTTTGCTCCTGCTGTCCCCTCCATTTGAGTGTCCCCTCCATTAGTCTTTTTCTCCCCATTAGTCTTGCTGTTAACTCCCAGCTTCTCCAGGGACTCTCAGTGTGGGAGGAGTTGTAGGAGCCAGGCATTAACCACACTCTGTATTTTCATTGTCTTCAAAACAACCCTAAGAAGTAGAGGCTATTATTATCCCCATTTTACAGGTAAGGAAACTGAGGCACCAAAGTCACAGCTAGAAAGTGGCAGAGCCAAATTCAAAGCCAGACATTTCAGCTCCAGAGTTCTCACTCTTAACTGCCACTGGCACTGCCTCTGGGAGCTTACAGCACAGGGTCCCCATCCTGATCATGTTTCATGATGACGCATTTTGGATAGATTATTTGGTTACTATCCTCCCCACTTGCTAACATCTTGTAATGATGGTAGCTAACATATTGAGCACTCAGTTCGTGCTAGGCACTGTATTGAGCACTTTTTATGCATTACCTAATTTCACCCTCCCAGCAGTCCTATAAATTAGGTACCATTATCCACACTTTGCAGATAGAGAACCTGAGGAGTGGAGAGTTTAAGTAACTTGTCCACTAGGCTGAAAATTCCCAGAGGGCAGAGACCATGTTCATTTTGCTCATTATTGAGTCCAGAGGGACTAATTCAGTGCCTGGCATACATAGATAGTCAATAAATACCTTTTGGTTGGTTGGATGGATGGATGGATGGATGGATAGATGCATGATAGATGGCAAAAAAGGAAGGAAAGAGGGAGGGGAGTAGGGAGGGAGGGACAACTGCCTCATGCAGCCTTGTTTGCCTGCCTCATGCAGATGCTCTGGCCACAACTAGGACATCCTTGGATGCTAGGCTGGTGTCCTATCTGACGTGGCATTCCCATGTCTCTCTGCAGGTGCCACCATGCAGGTGAAGAAGTATCTGCTGAAGTGCCTGCACAGGCTGCAGAAGGGCCCCGGCTACACATACAAGGAGCTGCTGGTGTGGTACTGTGACAACACCAACACCCACGGCCCCAAGCGTATCATCTGCGAGGGGCCCAAGAAAAAGGCCATGTGGTTCGTGATCACATTGCTCTTTGCCTCCATTGTCTTCTGGCAGTGGGGCGTCTTCATCAAGACCTACCTGAGCTGGGAGGTCAGCGTCTCCCTCTCTGTGGGCTTCAAGACCATGGACTTCCCTGCTGTCACCATCTGCAATGCCAGCCCCTTCCAGTAGGTGGTCCCTGGAGTGGAAGGCTGGCTTCACAGTGCCTTTTCTTTTTCTTTATTCCCCTCCCCCAGCTTCCTTCCACCTTTCTGTTTATCCCTACCTTTTTCTTTCCCTTTCTCTCTCTTTTGCTTACCCCCTTTTTCCTCCTTTCTCTCCATTCCTTTTCTTTTGTTCCCTTCTTTCTCTTTGTTTTCAAACAACTACCTTTTTGTTTTCACCTCTTTGCAGCAAGCAAGATTCAACATTCATATATATCCTAGGCTTAAAGAGCCTTAGAAATATCTAGTAGTGCCTGCCTTTAGACATACCAATGCCTGGTTATCAATTCAGCACATGTTTTTTGAGCACGAACTATGTTCAGGCAGTGCACGGGCACTCAGGAATACATCAGTGAGGAAAAGTTCCTGCCCTCTTCACAGCCTACCAAAGAAAACAGATATTAACCTTTTTTCTTAAATGCGAAATTAATTATAATAGTCCACTCACTACAAAGTGATGATAAAAATATATACAACAGACATACATCAAGTGCTTATTAAGTGCCAGGCAGTGAGTTGAGTGTTCTTGGGTAATTAATGTAATTCTAATCCATACAATTACCTTAGAGATAGGCACTCCTGTAGTAGCCTCAATTTACAAGTCAAGAAATCAAGATTCAGAGAGGTCAGGGAACTTGCCCAGAGACACACAAGAGACCATGGTGGCATTTGAACTCAGGCCTGATCTGAGTCCAGAGCTACCACTGTTTAACCACCTGATGGCAAAGCCTATGAAGGGGATGCACAAGTAGACCCAACCTAGTCAGGGTTGAGGAGAGGCAAGGGGTCAGTCAGAGAAAAATGCCTCAAAGAATGATTACAAGTTAGCCAAACTAGTCACGGATGAAGAGTGTATTCCAAGTGGAGGGCACAGCATGTGCAGAGGTCCTGGACAGACCTCAGTGCATTCAAAGAAGTGAGAGAAGGACCATCTTGGCTGGGTAGCTCAGTTGGTTAGAGTGTCATCCTGCTACAACCCAAGGTTGCACCTGATCCCTGTTCAGGGCACTTACAAGAATCAACCAATGAATGAATGCCTGGGTGAGTGGAACAATAAATCAATGCTTATGTGTCTATCTCTCTCTCTCTAAAATCAATTACAAGAGTCTTAAAGAACTGAAAGCCTTCTTTCCAGTGTGGCTGAGTCATGGAGAACATTCTCATTCATGAGAAGGTACTAGAAGGGAATTCATACTTCCTGATTACATTTTCAGTTATCAGAAAAAAATCCCCTCTTTCTAGCAATAGGTCTCTTGCCTGTTTTTGCAGGTCCTTACAGCTACTCAATAGAGCCTTTAGCAATCATGTTAGAACAACACTGTTTCAAGTGCTTTGTAAACATCACCTCATTGAATCCTCCCAACAGCCTTTATGGTAAATATTTTAGTCCTGATTTTGTAGATGAAAAAAGAGCTTCAGAGGGGTTTACTTGCCCAAGGCCACACAGATATTAAGTGGAATGTCAGAATTTGAGTCCAGAGCCCATGCAGTAAGCCGCCAAGCTCAGCAGCAGCTGTGGATGCGCAGGCTGTAACGGCAGCCCTCACTACTGCAGCCTACCACCTTCCAAACTCTCCTCTTCCCATGTGCACTCAGGTGGCTAGTTTAATAGTCAGAGGACAGGCAGTGCCAGTGTCTGAGGCTACTGTACACCTCTGTATACCAGAACTTGGGCCTGTGCCCAGGGTTGGATGCTCTGTCCTGCAGGAAGTCCTCTAACCAGAGCTGACATACACTGGTGACCACAACTCTGGGGTAAGATCTTGAATCAACTGGATATGGAGTGACTAGGGTACAAGGCCCAGGGTTCCCACACAGGACAGTCTCTGGTATGGACACATTTCTGCCAGACTAACTGGTCACCAGTTCCAATATGGGAGCCTCCAGGGGCTCAGAGCAGATTCTGGATCCCAGCCCCACAGTGCCACCCACCTTCTTCCTCCTGAAACTCTCTTGTTCCCAAAATCACTGCTGGAAAATAAGGGCCCTAGGATCACAGATCTTCCCCTTTTCCCTACATTTCTTATGCCCTCTTGGAAGGAAGGTGGCAGAGCCCCCTCCACTCTACCCTGTGCATAAACAGCATGCCCATTGAAGCCCACCACTTCCAGGTTCCAGGTCAGCTCTGTGAGCTCAGGACACCACAGCAACTTCCTTAGCCTTGGTTTCCTTGTCTGTATAGGGAGATGATCAGAGAATTGTGGAAGAGATTAAATTAAATAAGACATAGCAAGCACCTAGCACTTGACACATGATAAATTGTCAATAACTGCCCTCCTCACTAGAATGTGAATTTCTCCTCTGTACCTTCACAGTGCCTGGCACATAGTGGGCACTTATTCAGTACACAATGAATGAGAGTGAGTGGGTGGATGGATCAACGCATGGATACATGAGTAGGTGGATAGGGAAGTAGGCACTTGGACAGGGTGTTCTTCTCAAACATGCTGGCAGCTGTGCTGGAGTTGGAGGGGATCCCAGGCTGCAGCTGTTTCTCAGCTGCTCTTGCCCTCCTCACAGAGACTTTCCTCCACCCAGGTATTCTAAAGTCAAGCATTTGCTGAGGGACCTGGATCAACTGATGGAAGCAGTTCTAGAGAGGATCGTAGCTTCTGGGCCAACCCAGGCCAATGCCACCAAGACCTTGAACTTCACTATCTGGAACCACACACCCCTGGTCCTTATTGATGAGCGGAACCCCCACCACCCAGTGGTCCTCGACCTCTTTGCAGATAATCACAATGATTCATCAAGCAGCAGCCCGGCATCAGGAAGAACCTGCAATGCCCCCGAGTGCAAAGTAGCCATGAAACTGGTAAGTGGGCCACAGGCATGTGTCCATCAATGGGCCCTATCCAGTGAGGCTGATGGGAGTTTCTTTCCTTCAATAATCTGGGTCTCACTGGGGGAAAGGCAGGCTGGAAGCCAGTGCCTATTTTATATATTTGCCAAGCTATTTTAAAAGTAGAAATAGCTGGTATATCAGTCAAGATATTTTTGGATGCAAGTGACTGAGCTCAAACTAGCTTAAGCAAAATCAGGGATTCGGTGGCTCACGCACTAAGAAATCCATGGGTACATTGGGTTCAGGTGTGGTTGGACCCAGGTGTTCAGATGCTGTCATCAGGACTCTATTGCTCTCCACCTTGGCTCAGCTTTTTTAACTGGATTTATTGGGGTGACACTGGTTAATAAAGTTACACAGATTTCAAGTGCACAATTCTGTAATGCATTATCTGTACCTTTTTCTCAGTCGACTTCACTCTGTGGAGTGAAGGGCCTTGACAATCCCAGACACACATTCCACCAGCTAGCACTCTCCCAGAAAGCTTCTCTTTTCCAGTGACCATATCAGAAGTCCTGGGCCTCATGATCAGGTCACATGCTCACACCTCAACCAATCGCTGTGGGCTGAAGGACAGGCTGTCACGGTTGGCCAGTCCTGGGGTCAAGTGCCCTGGAGCTGAGGGTGATTCAGCTCCCTGTGCTCTGTCAGACCACAGAGCAAGGGATTGAGCAAGGGAGAAGAGGTGGTCCTCTCAAGGATGAATTAAGTCCTATTCTCAAAAGACAGGGGCATAAACTTCAGGCAGGTGAAAAACCACAGCTACACAGCACAGTTGGTGCCGGAGCACAGCTGCACTGCCCTGGGAGGTAGTGCACCTGCTGATGCTTGGAGATGCCCTGGGTAACACTGTAACTGCAGTTCCCTAGGCCCCACTCCTGTAGACTCTGAATGGGCAGCTCTAGGCCAGAGCCCAGGAATCTGTACTGTTAACAAGCTCCCTGGTGATTCTGATAATCTGCCCTGGCTGGGGGCCCAGTCTGGGGCCACTCACACCCCAGAGAGAAGCCACTGCCTCCCTTGCCACCATGTGGTCAGGACTCGCCTTCATCTCCATATGAACCTACACACAGCACCAGGCTTGCAGAGTCCTGCTGCCAACTCAAACCCAGTGCCCTACTACTTTCTACTACCCATAGAAAGTCCTCACTGGTAACTAGCTGCTCATGTAAAGCAGGCCTGTCCCTGATGGCTGCACCAGCTGTCAGAGAAAGCCCTTGTGTGCATGCACATACATGTGTGTGTATGTTGTGCGTGTGCCCACGTGTAGTGGGAGTGAGAGTCTGCTGTCATCACGCCTTGCTAGCCTCTCTGGGCGGGCCTCGGTTTCTTCATGCTGGTTAGATAGGGTTGCTGTGAAAATTGCATGGGATCATAAATTAAAGCCTTGAGAACAGAACCTGAGCTAGAGTGAATGTTAAGTGTTATTATCACCTCCCTAAGGGGAGACAAGGAGGCCTCCAGCAATGGACCTGAGCACAGTGCCTCGGGCCAGCCCTGAGAAGGAGAAGCTTCTTCTGGCCTCCGAGATTCAGAAAGAAGGCTCGCTATGAGATGAGAATGAATAGGGGCAGAAAGGCCAAGACCAGAGTCCCAGAGCCAAGCCTGTTCTGTCTGTGTGATGACTTCATGGGGGCCAGCTGCAGCGAGGCAAAGGGCCCTGCACCCTTCAGTGGGCTCAGACTGACAAGGCCCAGGTCCTTCCACAGCAGAGGGGGAGGCAGAGTCTGGAGTCCTCTGTGGTTCACATGGCCTCCGGGCAGCTGCACCTGGAAGTCTTGGGAGGGGGCTGGAAAGGAGTCAGGGAATCGGAGGGTTGGAGAATGTCTGTGCTCAAGTGAGCATGAGTGTGGGGCTGTGTGTATATGAGCTAGGAATCTAGGTAGATAGGCTTGTGGGCAAGTAAGGATATCCGTGTGCATAGTTGTGACCATGATGTCATGTGACTGGGATTATAAGAAAGTGGATGTCTTTGTATATGTGTGCAAATGTGTGCATATAAGGGTATACGTGTGTGCATGTGTTCACTCATGCTTAAGGCTACACCTGGGGTTTGGGGTGGCACTGTGTGTATGAGTCCTTGTGACTGTGCTGCTGTGTATAAGGGGCAGCAGCCCTGAGCATGTGTGAGCATGAGTGTAAACATGGTTCCCCACTGCCCAGCCCCAGGGCAAAGCCAGGGGAAGGGCAGCTGGCCCAGCACTCTCAGCCCTTGACCTTGGGGCAGTGACTAGGGGGCCCTGCCAGCAGCCCCACACGCACAGAAACCCTTCTTGGTCTCTGCAGTGCTGCCTTAATGGAACCATATGCACCTTCCGAAACTTCACCAGTGCCACCCAGGCTGTGACAGAGTGGTACACCCTGCAGGCCACCAACATCTTCTCACAGGTGCCAGCCCAGGAGCTGGTGAAGATGGGCTACCCGGGCGAGCAGCTGATCCTGGCCTGCCTGTTCGGAGCTGAGCCCTGCAGCTACAGGTGAGAGGTGCCTCCCACCTCCAGAGAATGTCCTGGCTTGGGAATATCCCAGCTCTCTGCACCGCGACTGTCTGTGCCTCAGTGTCTTAGGTCATGTTTCCTGGGGGAACCTGGTGAGAACTGTATGGGCATTTTAAAAATCAACTTTTTATTGTAGAATCACTTTAGACTTATAAAAAAGTTGCAAAAAGATAGTATACAGAATTAGTTCCCTTATCCTCCTGACTCAGTTTCCTCTGTTGTTACCATCTTGCATCATCATGGTCATTTGTCACAATTAAGAAACCAACATTGGCACTTTATTCATATTTCATCGGTTTTTTTCCTGGTGACCTTTTTCTGTTCCCGATTCCGTTCAGGAGACCACACTGTGTTTAGTTGCCATCTCTCCCTAGTCTCTTCTGGGCTGTGATGTGTCTCAGACTTCCAATCGTGTTGGAAGCACTCCATGTGGGTGCACACAGGTGAGACGGTTTGGGAAAGCAGAGCGCAGAAGCGAGGTGCCCTCCTCATCGCACCACACACAGTGGCCACGAGCCCTGCCTGCGGTGCTGACCTCCTGAACCTGGTGGAGGTGTGCACTGCGTGCCGGGCTTCTCCACAGCAAGGTCACCACATCCCCTTCCTGTGGTCTGTATCGTGAGCCAAGTCACCAGGTCCAGCCCATGCTCTAGGGGTGGGGGGCAGGGGAGCAGGGACATGTACGCTTTGGAAACCTTCTGTAAGGCGGGTTTGTCTGGGCCCCGTTTGTGCATCTCCTGAATCATTTATTTCTACCAGTGTAGGCTGGTGTGTATTTGGGTTGTAATCCAATAGCACATTATTTATTCTCTGCTCTGATCCATCCAGCTTTGGCTGCTGGGAGTGTCCAAACCTGAAGAGAATTTTTATGAGTTTATTTGAGCCAAACTGACCACAATGCCAGGAAGCAGATCTCAAATGCTCCACAGAGTGACAGTTTGCAGTTTCTTTTACACATTTGGAATTAAGGAGGGAACAGTAAGGACGACCACAGGAAGGTGGGAGAAAGTAAGGAACAGGATACCTAGCAAGATTACGTGCTCCCTTGAGGGAGGTTATAGCCTCTGAGAGGTCTGAAAAGGAGGATGATTCTGGCCTTTCACGGGTGCACCTGGTGCACAAGAACAATGGGCAGGGCTTGCTTAAGGCAAAGACAAACCTTTCACTGAAGAAGTTATAGGCCTGGGGCGTGACTGCCCACCATGACCTGCCCAGCTAGAAATTTATGATCAGATCACCCTGGGAGGTGGCTTTCCATCAGTGGACTTACAAGTTTTATCATAGACACCCTTTTTTGTCCACAGAAACTTTTCTGGTCACTTTGGCATGTCCCCATCCATTTGTTTATTTACTTATTTTTGAGTACCCCTTACTTTCTGGCACTGTGAGGTGCCCTGGGCCCAGAATCGGCTGCTGCTTTGAGGACCCCTGGTTCTTTTTATTAGAGAATGGCATTCGGAAACCAGGACCTAGGCATGAATAATCAGTATCACTATTATTACTATTACTATTACTGCTACAACATCAAAGATTGGGTACCTAGTTTCTTCCCTGGGAAGCCTGCCCTGACCCCTGCCGCATGGCACTGCCATTGTTATGCTACTTCCTGATAGGATTCTGTTTCCTGGTTTCCTCCAGAGGTTGCTGGTGTCTGTCTGCACACCTGGCCCCTATCCCAGGAAAGATTTGGGAGGGAGACACCTGTTTCCGGAGCTGGAGGTGGCTAGTACTGGGAACAGCCTCTCTGGGTAAAGAACATTATAAGCAAGCAAATAGTTGGCAAGCAGGTATGGGGAGACCAGGAGTGTAGTTCTGGGCAGGAGGGGATCTGGCCACACCCTGATCAGCCTCCTGCTCCTGTGCTGTAGGTGTCTGAGACAGCATGTTGGGAACACTATGTCCCCGCACCCCTGGCGCGGGGTCTGGCCCTGCGGAGCAGTGCCCGGCTTTAGCTGGTTTGCCCCTCTCTGTTCTTTGCCTGTGGCCACAGCCCTGAACCTACACAGGATGCAGACTCCACAGTATCTGCCCAAAGCTATTTATTCCCTCCAGGCCTTTGCCTATGCTGTGCTCCCAGCCTGGTGTGCCCTTCCTCTTTTCCACTCCCTGGGTTCAGCCACCTCTCACCCTGAAAGGCTCACCTCAGGCTTCACCTCCACTAAGAACCTTTCCGTGACCTACTCCACACCCCACCCCATCCCCAGTGGAATCAGGTGTCAATCCTCATGCTTATCTCTGCAGATGCCCTATCATATATAATTTATAATATTAACAAATATTTACTGAGTGTCTGTCTCCTGTGTGTCCGGCTCTGAGGCGAGAGCACTGAGCACTAGGCAGCCAACATCTGGGGAGTACCTCAGTAAGCTCGACCTCCAAATCTCACCTCAGTCCCCCGGATGGGTGCAGTTATTATTACCTGTGTTACAGGTGAAGCGCGTGAGGCTAAGAGAGGTGAAGTAATTTCTCCATGCTCTCCAGCTGGTCAGTGGCAGAGCCAGAATTTGAATTTAGGCAGGCTGGCTCCGGGCCTGGGCTTTCAGCCTCGTAGTTCTTTCTCCCTCAAGATAGACAGGGCAGCTGCCCTCACTGGGCTTACATTCTAAAGCAGGAGGCAGCTTTAAGCAAGCAAATAAATAATAGAAGACAGTTTCAGATTTTGGTGCATGCTATCAAAAAGTAAGCAGTGGAGTCCTGGCTGGGTAGCTCCGTTGGTAGGAGCATCATCTTGACATGGCAAAGTTGGTTCAATCCCCGGTCAGGGCATATACAGGAGACCACCAATGAGCACATAAATAAGTGGAACACCCAATCAGTGTCTGTCTCTCTTTCTCTCTCTCTCTCTAAAAGTCAATAAAATTAAAAAAAAGAATTTACTGTACTTTAAAATTCCCTCTAAAAGCCCATTTACATAAAGAAATTGAGGTGTGTTTTTTTTTAAGCCGTGGAAATATCTGCTGTGGAACATAAGGCTTAAAGGACAATTCTGTGCTTCTCTCAATATGTCTGTCTATTGAATGCACTGAGCTCCATTTCTTCCCGTTATAATAAAATAAGAAAAGCACTATAAAACCATCCGAAGACATTTTAAAGCCATTTCCGCACTCTCTGGAAACTGGAGAACACAGACACAGACGAACAGAGCAGGGCGATCTCCTGGGGAGCCCCCGCCCAGCCCCAGCAAACAGGGCTCACACCCTCTCAAGGCAGCCCCGCTCCTCCGTCTGCCAGAGTTCAGAGTGCGTGTGTAAAAGAGACTTTTTTAAAAAACAGAACCACAATACTATTATCCCACCTGAAAAAAAGCAGCCATTTCTCAATATCATTAACAGTTTAGTTGTGTTCACTCTCATAAATGTCATACTTTTTGGTTTATTTGCTTGTTTGAATCAGGATCCAGTTATAGTCCACACATGGTGATTGTAACCCAAGTCTTTCGCATTTCTGTTCATCTATAGGTTGCCTCCCTTTCCTTCTCAAAGTTTGCTTGTTGAAGAAACTGCGTTATATATCTTGTTGAGTTCCCCACGGTCTGAATTTCACAGATTGACTCTTTGTGGTGCCTTTGAACATGTTCCTTTGTTGCTAGTATTTGTTGCAAGTGGTACTCAGAGACAGATACTCAGTGCTGTTCGGTGCTGATGTTTTTGGCAAAAACACTTGTTCATGAGCCTGGGCTCTGCTGGCCAGAGACACACAGTAGCAGTCACCCCAGTGCAGCTGCCCAAGCCACCATTCACCAGAGTGCAAAATGCTGCTCTCCTGGCTGTATCACTCCATCTTCAATTATCAGTGGGCTCAAACCAGAGCTTTTTTTTTTACAGCAAATTGCAAGAAGAAAAAATGTCACGTGGAGGGCATGTAGCATAGATTAAAAGAGACTTAAAAGGCATATCAGCCAATCACATGTTAACATTATTTGAATCCCAATTTAAACAAACTGTGGAAAACAAAATTGACATTTACGAGACAACTGAAATTTTGAACTGAATATTTAATAATAGGAAGAGATTTTTATTGGTTATTTTTAACCTACTAGTAGCATTATTTTTTAGTTCTTTCTCTTAGAAATCTATATGAAGTATTTTAAATTAAGATGTCTGAGATTTACTTCAAAATAATATGAAAAGGAAAGTGGAGGGCAAGTAGAAATGCAACATGGCCAGGGGTGGCAACTGTTGAAGCTGGTGGTGGGCTTTGTCTCTGCATTTTTAAATGTTTGAAACGTTCCATATCAAAAAAATTTTTTTATTTGCCCTGGCTGGTGGATTGAGCATGAGCCTGCAAACCAAACAACCTCAGTTCGATTCCCAGTCAGGGCACATGCCTGGGTTGCAGGCCAGTTCCCAGCAGGGGACTCACGAGAGGCAACCATACACTGATATTTCTCTCCCTCTCTCCTTCCTTCCCCTCTAAAGATAAATAAATAAAATCTTAAAAACCTTTTTTAACAAAACTCTTAGGAACTACATTACACTGTCTCTATTTCTGTGAGCACCTTTATGGAAACATTTTTTATTGTTGAATTATTTCCTCAGGAAACACTCTCATGACGTGAGACAGGACCCCATAGAGGGTCGTTTTCATGCCTCCTTTCGCCCTTTCCTCAGCCTCTGCTTAGACACGCTCCTGACGCACAGTCCCTCTCTGGCCCTCCACCCAGTCCACTGCCCTCTTTTTCTGGCTTCCCAAGGTCATCCAGTCCACCTCTCTGGATTCTGTCAGAGAAAGTGGCTTAAAACAACAGAAACATGTTTCTTCACAGAGGAGGCCAGGAGTCCTTCCTGGGCTGTGGCTACTTCACTCCAGCCTCTGCCTCATCTTCACATGGCCTTCTCTGCACCGGTGTCTTCTCCTCACCTGGCTCTTGTAAGGACAGTTGTGACTGAATTTGGGGGCCACCTGGGTACTCCAGGCTGATCTCATCTCAAGATTCTTAATTACATCTGCAAAGACTCCTTTTCTTAATAAGTTCACATTCACAGGTCCCTGGCTTTAGGACGTAAACAAATCTTTTGTGGGCCACAGTTTAACCTACAAAATGGCTTACCAGACACTGTAGATGAGACACATGAAAATGTCACCAGATGGGGACCTAGTCTGGAGAAGGTTTGTCTCCAGCTGGTCACTAGAGTACAGTTTCTTGACTTGGTGCAGGAAAGATTCCATGAGTCCAGGTGATTTTAGAATATGTTTATTAAACCAGGGACAGTGAAACAAAGGAACGGCTTAGGGTAGGAGAAAAGGGAAGAGCCAAGGTGGGGCTGCTTTGACTGTTAAGAAATATATAGAAAAGAACTAAGCCCATACAGGGCTGCTGTCAGCTCACTGGGAAGTGAGGGGAAAAGCAGGCCTCCCTGGCTGGTGTGGATTGAGCACCAGCCTGCAAACCAAAGAATTACCAGTTTATTCCCAGTCAGGGCATGTACCTGGGTTTTGGTCCAGGTCCTAAGTAGGGGGCATGTGAGGGGCAACCACTCATTGATGTTTCTCTGCTTCTCTTTCTCCTTCCTTTCCCCTCTGTCTAAAAATAAAGAAATAAAATCTTTTTTAAAAACGGGGGCGGGGGGGGGGTCCTTGAAGACAATCAGGGGTTAATTTGGAACAAGCTGCCACTGTCCACCAATCCCCTGGTTGCAAGTCTCCCAGGGACCCTTAGAGTTCTGGAGAAAGAGAGCAGATATACAAGGCATGGGTGTACCCTAACCAGAGCACTGTGAGTCTTTTGTCTTGAATCTTTTTATCTTTTCTTTCTTTGGCTGGCAGGAATCCTAGGGGAAGCTTCAGGGGAGGGTCTGTTATATTCTTAACAGAATATTCATTCGGGTGTGTCCTTCAATCTGTTGATTCACCAAAATATGCATAGAGATGAGTCAGGGTTATTTTCTGGTTAGTTTCACTTTCAAAGAACATCATCGAAGAGGCACTGAGGCCAGTCTGCCCCTGACAGCCTGGAATGTGTGAACCATTTGCTCCCAGGCGTCCTTGCTTAGGGAAGATAAAACCTTGTGATTCACTAGCTGGCTGTAAATTGCTCAAATGGTTTGGCCTTGTTTAATTATTTTATCTCAGTTTCCCTTATTCCACTTGTCAAGGAATTTCCCCAGCTCCTTAACTATGCTGCCTCAAAAACATAAAAGAAGCTTCTTTTTCGTAATTCCTGGGTGACCAACCCCAGAAAGACTCCCTTCTCCCCTCCTTCCCAGGAAGTCTGGGAATCTCTGGCTTGTGCTCAGGTACAGGGGGTTGGACAGATGACCTGCTGCTCACCTGTCCCTTTCTGGGCCCCTCCCAGCAGTCAGTGAAGGGCAGGGAGCAGCTGCCAGCTGTACTCCCCATGAGCCCTGGACAGCACCCAGGCGGGGATGGGGCACTGGCGGGGTTGGGCCCTGCCCTCCAGCTGCTGGTATTTCTTTCAGAAACTTCACCACCCTCTTCTACCCTGATTATGGCAACTGTTACATATTCAACTGGGGCATGGCAGAGAGAGCACTCCCTTCTGCCAACCCTGGAGTTGAGTTCGGTAAGTCTTGGTTCCTCCTGGGGCCAGAACCCTGAGGCTTTAACCACCCCATGTGGGGCTCAAAGACTAAATTACCATCACGCATGAAAGCGCAGGATCTGGGATAGACAGACCCAGCACACAGAAGAGTGACCATGGGAAGCCTGTCCTGTGTGGGGGGAGGCTGGACCAGGGGTCTTCTCAGCCATTTTCTTATCCCACGCCTGTAAATCCCTGGGGCAGCGACCATGTTTCCATTTTGCTAATGAGTACAATGAAGATTCAGAGCAGTAGAGCATAGTGGTTAGGGCTCAAGCTCCTATGTCTGATGAAATCCCAGCTGCACCATTCATTCACTCAGTGAGAGATCCTGAGTTCAAGACCTAACTTCTCAGAGCCTTGGTTTCCCCACTTGAAGGTGGTCTACAATAGCATAGCTCACAGTTTATGCCTCACCGAGTCACTGAGACATAAGGCAGGTGAACTGCTTCCACAGTGCTCTGCAAGCAGTAATGCTCAGTATGTGCCAAATCCTTAGGCATTTTAGTAACTTGCCCAAGACCACCTAGCTAACACATGGCAGCCCTGACTCAGCCTTGTCCCTATGCAGTTCTTAGAGCAAATCACACAAATCAAGAAAGAACAAAGGAGCAGGTGGGCGTGAGGAGGTGGGAGGTGGTCAGTGACAGAGGCTGCTGCACTGGCCTATCTCAGGGACAAGCTGGTAGACTCAGGATGGCTATGCCTTTCAGGCTATGAGCACAAGTGAGAGCAAAGCCTTCCTCCCTTCTCAGGTTCTGACCTCCCCAGCCAGCCACCAAGAGTTGTCATTCAGTAGCCATCAGGGCTGCTGGTCAAGGGGGCAGAGTGGGCTGACTGCCCTTCCACAGCCCTGTGCCCCTAAATGCACCTCGTATTGGAGAGGAGCAAATCAGTGCCCTTACAGAGGAAGCAGATTAGAATCAGGGAGCCCAGCTGCCTGTATTGGGACATCAGCAACCCCACTTCCTCACTGGATGACCTCAGACAGGCCTCTTTACCTCTCTGTGCCTTGGTTACCTCATCTGTAAAATGGGGATGATAACAGTACCTACCTCATATGCACCTTCTGAACACCAGTGAGATTGAGTATAAAAAAATCACTTAGTACAGCACTCAGCATGTAGCAAATGCTCAATGAACATCAGCCTTATTGTCCTAAGCACCTAGCATAGTCCTGTGGTGTACAGAATATCAGGTCTGGTCTCTGCCCTCGAGCACAAAACAGTTGAGTGGGGAAGAAAGACAAGAAAGAAGAATCACAAGAGTGAGGCAGGTTCTAGGAAGGAAAGTTCCAGAGCTGAGAGAGGATATGACAAAGATCCTGAGACCTAATTTAGGTAGTCAGGGAAGGCTTCTGGAGGAAGTGACCCTGGGCGGAGATCTGCAGGAAGAGCAGGATTTTCTAGGTGGAAGGTGAGTGTGGGAAGTTCATTCCTGATGGCCTAGCATAAGGAAGGAGCACAGGAGCTAAGGGGGATTGAATGGAGAGAATGAGGACCTGTGCAAGGCGAGGCAGGGCCACATGGTGTATGCCTCTCAATCTAACTGCTGTGTGGGCTGGGGAAGCAAGAGGAGCCCAGGGCAGAGGTGATGGTGGCTTGGACTAGTATGGGGCCTTAGAGAAGACAAGAAGTCCAATTTTCACAGAGTGGAGCCAGCTTCCTGGGCAGGCCCTGGAGGTCCCCCGGATGGAGGGGGTGTGGACAAGTGGGTGGTGGGTCTCCCTTCAGCTTTGGAGAGTGAGTTCAGGGAGCCCTTGGTCCCCCTTCCCCACAGGCCTGAAGTTGATCCTGGACATAGGCCAGGAAGACTATGTGCCCTTCCTCACGTCCACAGCCGGGGTTCGGCTGCTACTTCATGAGCAGAGGTCGTACCCCTTCGTCAAAGATGAGGGCATCTATGCCATGTCAGGGACGGAGACGTCCATCGGGGTGCTGGTGGTATGGTTACAGTCCCAGGGAAGCATGAGGGGGGTGAGGGTGGAAGCTCACCTGCCTAGTGCCACCTTCCTCTGGCCTGAGAGGAGGGGGTCGGGCCTCTTTATGCCCTGGCCTTCCCTCACAGCCCACTCCTGCCCTGCTGTCCGGCTGCACTCCAACCAGGGCAGCCACACTTGGGGAAGACAAGCACCCCAATGCCTACTGGGACCTACTGCTCCTCATCCCCTTTCGGAGCTCCTAGAACCACATTCTCAGTGGGAGGCAGGGGCAGAGCAGCTTCCCAGGGCTAACCAGGGGCCCCTCAAGCATGCTGTCTGGATGCAGGACAAGCTGGAGCGGAAGGGTGAGCCCTACAGCCAGTGCACTGTGAACGGCTCTGACGTCCCCATCCACAACCTCTACAGGGACCACAACACCACCTACTCCATCCAGGTAGGAAGACAGTGCAGGCCTTGTGCCCCTGTCCATGTTAACGGCTCAAGGCTTCGATCTCTGGGACAGCTGGTCCTGGCAAGGCTGTTTACCTGAGAAGCCAGTTTACTGGAGAAGTCCCTTCCCTGTATCTGGCCACGAACCTCTTTGCCACAGCCACAGGCTTCTCTCTGGTCTTGATCTCCAGAGTCAGCCCAGGAGGCATGTCCCCAGACCCAGTCTCAGTGAAGGGGACAGACTGAATCTTTGCAAAGGTGACAAAAGTAACCACTTGCTGACACTTCCTCTCCCAGCCCAGTCTGCCTTGGAAGATGCAGGAACTGAGACACAACAAGAGGGCAGCCCAGTGCCCACCCCCGTGTCTGAGTGCTGCAAGCATAGGGGGTCCTCCCTTTTGCCTTAGTCACAGGAAACTGACCCTCCCCTGGGCCCACCTGCCTGCCCACCCCATCCAGCTGACTCCATCCACCCCACACTCTGCCTGGCTGGTTTGGTCACCTCTTCTGGAGGGACAGTGTGGGGAGGTAGGGAGAAAGCAGGAGGACACGGAGGCATTGGGCCCCGGCCCTCAAGACCCCCTTCCAGAAAAACCTCTTGCTTCTTTCAGTGCAACAGCCACTCTGGCCAGAGATCTTGGCAAAGACCATGGTCATGTGCTCTGTCCACCCCGCCCTGCCCTACCCCAGCCTCAGTTATGGGGCTGGAGAGAATACCTGCTTCCCAGTTGAGACAAGAGGTCTGGAAGAACCTAATACACTTGCCCAAACTCTGAGCTCCTCACCAACCCCACATGCCTCCTCCTCAGCTCTGCCCCTCCCGGGGTTGCGTGTCCTCTGCCTGCCACCCCATTTCCTGCTGCAGAGCAAGTGCTTACAGAGACCAAGCCCAGCCCTCCCGAACTCAGCCAACAGGGCAACTATGGCCCAGTTCACCCATGAGTAAACTGAGGCCCTGAGGTTAATGACTCGCTGCAGTACACACAATAGATCTTAGTGGACCAGAACCAGGTTGGAATGACCTGAAAACCTGGTGTGAAAAGAGATTCATCAGCTTCATCCCCAGGGGGCTGAGCCTGCTCTTCGCCTATGCCCCCCTCACAGAGGACACGCTGCAGCTGTCACCCTCTTTCGTCACCATTGGGCTTTCAGAGATCAGCCTCTTCTTGCAGTCCCTGAGTGGGTCCCTTCAGGAAGAAGGCACTTGGAGCCAGCCTGCCTGTCCCTCAGAGCTGGCCTTCTGGGCCTTTCTGTGTAAAGAGCTCGAAACAAGAGTGATTTATCCCAGCACTAGCTTTAGAATTTGCAACAAGCCACCCCTTCCCAAGTCATCTGCGGGGCCCCAGTGCTGAACAGGGGGAGTGGCCTGAATCCCTCTGTAAGGGTCAGGTAGAGGGAAGGACAGGAGGTGCAGCTTAGCAACCTCAGCACCACGTCTCAACTGGAAGGTCACCTCTTCTGGCTCCCCCAGCTCCCTGGGCCCAGGCACTAAGTTCCCTGGGCCCCTCGCCCTGTGATTGGGGAGGGGCATCACTGGTCATGTTTGTATGGTCTCCCTGCCCTCTGTTCCAGGCCTGTATTCGCTCATGCTTCCAAGAGCACATGATCCATAACTGTAGCTGTGGCCACTACCTATATCCACTGCCCTATGGAGAGAAATACTGCAACAACCAGGAGTTCCCTGACTGGGGTGAGTGGGACCAGCCACCGGCACCCTAGCCAGCTGGCCACTATCCACCAGGCTCTGCCTGCCAGGGAGAGGCATGGCTGCACGGCCTCAACAGGGCCCAGGGGCGTACCCAGGCTTGCTCAGCCATATGCACAGTCCGCAGCCCCTTCCTCCCAGGTACCCTTCTCAGGAGAACCCAGCTCCCCTCCACACCTCGACTCCATGACTTACACACTTGAACTGTGTCTGTGTGGGGGTGATTCCGCCTGTGTGCCACATGAACACCCTCACCTGCGTGGGCCTGGGAATGCAACTCTGGTGATGGCACATGTGCACGCATTTGTGTTTTCCCACATATGCATGTGTGAAAAAGAGCATTTGTGTTTGTGTCTTGATACGCAGCCACAGTCAGGACTGCGGTGCCAGTCTGAGACAGTGTTCGTGCACCAGCCTATGCTTCCAGCGTCTGCATTTGCACCCACTGCTTTGTGTGTACATTTGAGTGTGCATGCACGTGCAAGGCCACGTGTGTCAGCCTGAGGACTGTGTCCATGTCTGTGTGGGCTCACCTGGCCTCTCTGTGGAGTGCTGGGGCAAGGGGACAGGGAGGTGGCTTCTAAGGTGTTGAAACCTGAAGCCACAGAAAGAGGAGCCACTCCTGTGAGCAGGGCTCACACTGAGCTGGAGTCCTAATGACCCAGAGTCCAAACGCCCAAGGATGTTGGGGGCAGCAGAGAGAGTTCCACCACCTCTTAAAACCAATAAAATGTGGGAACAAAGAAGGGAAAACTGTATCTCTTGCCACCACCCACCCCTTCAACACAACCCTGTCACCCTGATCCCCAATAAAAATGAGGATGAAGAGCAGAGGGAAGCTGCCTTGATCCCGCTGAGTCTGGATGTTTGGAGACAGGATCCCCCGGACCAGGCTGGGCCAAAATGGCTAAAGATGAGGGCAGAGGGATGGATGGTTCTCCATGACAGGGGACTTTAGATTGAGACAACTCCCTACCCCCAAGTCACAGACCTTAGGTAGCCCAGGGCCAGGAGGGCAGAGGGTAGCCAGAGGTTCAAAGGCTCAAATCCTCTGCCCCACCCCTCTCCTGCTCAGTCTATTGCTACTCAGAGCTGCGCAGGAGCTTGGGCCAGAGGGAGACCTGCATCAAGATGTGCAAGGAGTCCTGCAAGTAAGTGTGGCATGGGCGTGGCAAGGTCTGCGGGGCAGGGCGGTGTGGGCACTGTGGGGCATGACAGCCACAGGGCTGCCTTCTCTCTTCCAGTGACACCCAGTACAAGATGACCATCTCCATGGCCGACTGGCCTTCTGAGGCCTCTGAGGTGAGGTGGTGGCGTGGCCAAGCTCCTGGCCACCCCACCGTGGGCTGGGGCCTGGTCTGCAGGCTGCTTGGGACTTTGGAGAGGGTGCTCCTTCCTGCCCCTTCTCTCCCCCTTTCCTTGCACCCCTAGGCACTGTGCCAGGAACACAGCAGTGAGCCAGACAGACACAGTCCTTTGTCCTTACAGTGCTTACATTCCAGTCAGAGAAACAGCGATCATTTCAGAGTATGATAACGATTGTGTAGGAAGTAAACCAGATAATGAGAGAGTAACTGGGGGAAGGACTCCCTAACACTGTGACACTTTAGCTGACATCAGAGGATAGAGCAGAGCCAGCCCTGGGCAGGGTTGGGGAGGAGGGCCCAGGCAGCACTAGGGCCGGAGGTGGGAAAGAGATAGCAGAGGTTGGCTGAGCCCTGCGGGAAGAGTCTGGAGACCTGAGTGCCTTCTCCCCATAAGAGCAGCCACTTTGTACGCTATTACCTTCTTTCTCCTTCATATCCGAACACATGGTCCCCAGGGGGCTTCGGGAAGCTATAGGCCTATAGTCTGTCACCCAAAGAGAGCAGAGTCCATTGGCGGGAGGGAATACTGCAGGCGCCATTGTTTTCAGCTGCCTTCTTGGTTTGCAGGACTGGATTTTCCATGTCCTGTCTCAGGAGCGGGACCAAAGCACCAATATCACCGTAAGCAGGTAAGCCTGCAGTAGGGGCAGGGCTGGAGAAGGCAGGAAAGGGCAGGAACGAGAGCCTCAGGAGAGGAGTTTAGACATATTGCAGCTCCTCAGACACTTTCTCATACTGGTCAGATCCAGGAGCAAGCCTGTAAGAAGAAGCACTGGTGGTGAAAGACAAGCAGCCAAGGGGACTCAGAGTCTACTGCTCCCTAAGAGAGGGCCTGTTCTCCATCCGTCAGCTGTTCATACACACACCCATACACTCATCCATCCATCCTTCCAATCTTCTATCTACCTACCAATCTGTCCATCCATTCATTTATCGTCTTTCCAATCTCCCACCCATTTATCCCTCCATTATCCTCCCTTCCATCATTCCACTCATCCATCCAACCACCCATCCTCCATCCATTCAACACAAACACACACTGAGCATGAACAAAGACACAAGGTCCACACTGTCAGGAACCCTGAATCTAGAAGACAGAGAGGTACGATCAGAGTTTATGGTTGTAAGAGTTTGTAGCAGACCCTCCCTGTGGAAACATAGCAGGAAGGAGCCACCATCTGCCTAAGACATTAAGGGAGGTCTGCATAGGGAGGTGGCACTTGAGCTAACTCTCCAAGGAGTAAGAATTGTTCAAAAAAATAAGAAGAGGTAAAAATGTCCAGGCAGAAACTCAGACATGAGAGCGCTTAGCCTTTCTGAGGACCATCAGATATAAGAGCAACGCCCACTTGGCCATTCTTTTCTCTGCTCCAGGTTTCCAGACAAAAAGGCAAGCTTAGGACTCTATGCAGAGTCCTATGGGTTGGGCCACTTTGAGGGTGAGAGAGGGGAGCTCTCAGGGACTGTCTCTGGGCAGAGTATCCCTTAGGAAGCTGGTTCAGAAAGGGGCCCACAGGATAGGTGCTAGGCAGAGATGCTCTTTGTGGCTCAAAGCACACAGCAACCAGAAAGGGTAGCACTGGTAGCTCTTGTTTGGACCTCGCCACTCATGGGAGTGGGCCTGTGAGAAGCCCAAGCAGAGGAGGGGAAGCCCCTTGGCTGCCTTCTGTGCGCGTGTGTGTGTGTGTGTGTGTGTGTGTGTGTGTGTGTGTCTGTCTGTCTGTCTGTCTCGGGGAAAGGGCACCAGTCCTTGCTGCCTCCTGCAGGAAGGGAATTGTGAAGCTCAACATCTTCTTCCAAGAATTCAACTATCGTACCATTGAGGAGTCGGCAGCTAATAATGTGAGTTTGGGGGTTCCTGATAGCTCTGCTCTGCACCCTGAAGGGCAGGAGGATCCCCAACCCCATAGATAAATTAGGAAGGTCTCTAAGACAAATTGTTTTCCCTGGGCTGAGATGGTTACCTTTCCCCTTCCCAGTCAACAGTACACCTCACGGGAAGCCAGGAGGCTGGGTTTCAGGCAGCAGCTTGCAGCCTGACCCCTACCTCTGCCAGGGCCTTAGCCCCTTGCTCTCCACAGATCGTCTGGCTGCTCTCAAATCTGGGTGGCCAGTTTGGCTTCTGGATGGGAGGCTCAGTGCTGTGCATCATTGAGTTTGCGGAGATCATCATTGACTTTGTTTGGATCACTGTCATCAAGCTGGTGGCCTTCTCCAAGAGCCTGCGGCAGAAGCGGGCCCAGGTTCGATACGCTGGCCCACCGCCCACTGTGGCCGAGCTGGTAGAGGCTCACACCAACTTTGCCTTCCAGTCTGACACGGTCAACCACAGCCTCAACCCTGGGGCCTACCCCAGTGAGCAGACCCTGCCCATCCCGGGCACCCCACCCCCCAACTATGACTCCCTACGTCTGCAGCCACTGGACATCATCGAGTCCGACAGTGAGGACGATGCCATCTAGACCCTGTCCCTGCCCACCCTGAGAAGCCCAAGAGCTCAGACCTGAGAAGCAAAGCCAGTGCCCATGGCCTCCCTTTACTGCACCCTCTCCAAAGGGCTGGGATGATAGATGTCCCAGTCCAGAGTCCATGTCTCTCTACAGGGAGGTCAGCAGCTCCTAGCCAGTCCCAGACTAAGGGCTCCATAGGGTCAGGTGCTGGCATGAATACGGGGATTGTGTTCAAATTTGATTTCTGCCCATGCCTAACCCAACCTGAGCCTTGGCCTGGGACATGCCCAGCCAGGCCCCAGAGACCCAAGAACACCCTTTTCTTGGGGCAGGCCACTTCCCTCAGTGCCAGTCACCATCTCTTGCAGAGATGAACAATCGGGCACACCGTGCTCGTCAGTCCCCAGACCTATGTGGCCTTTTCCTTCCTGGCCTTGACTGGCCTCTACAGATGGGACTGGTGAGGGCAGTGGCTGTGCTGAGCAGGAAGACCATCAGGCAAGGGTGGGGGGCTGCTAGGTGGCATGTGTTTTATTCTAGAAAATAAAAGTAGAAAACCCTGAGTTGAGCTCTGTTCTTTGTCTGATGGGGCAGCCACAATGCCCTCCCTGACACATCTCTGGAGCAGAAGGACATCCATGTTGCCTTGAGAGCTAGGCCGAGCCAAGGAAAGGCCCCAGGCAGGTAACATTTAAAGTCCCTTTCCAGCTGTCCCCAAAGCAGTGGCTTTATGACTTTCTTAATGCCACCCAACTTACTTGTTTGGGCTATGAAGACAGAGAGTGAGGAAGGCAGAGAGGAGAGGAAGAATCCTCTGGCTAGCTCCTAATTCAGCAGCTCACAAGACATCTTGGTTTCTCTCTGCTTTCCTAGGTAGGCTGTCCCCACACTGTAGCTGAGGTCAATTCCAAACTCAGCAAACACAGCTAGGAGAGCTCCCCTCTTCCCCAACTGTGAGCGCAAGTTCCCAGGTAGACTCTCAATGGTCAGTGATTGGGTCATATGCCTTCCTCTGAACCAGTCAGTGTGGCCAGCTGGCCCCCAGTGGAATCACATGGTTCCGGGTGGTGGGGCCATGGCTCCCAAGGGTGCTGGATAAAATACAGGTCACAAAGTTAAATAGGAATTTCAGATAAACAACAAATTCATTTTTGTTGAAATATGTCCATGTAATAGTTGGCATATATTATACGAATAACTCAAGTTTTTCTGAAATTCAAGTTTAACTGAGCATCCCGTATTTTTTATTGCTAATTATGGCAACCTCTGTGGCTACCACAGAGGTCAGGGAGCTGTTACTGAAGGAGAGTGGGTCAGCAGAAGCAGACAGCTGGCTGCTGCAGGGCCTGTCACCTGCTGGTCCCAGTGGTGAAGGACCCCTGGCTTTAGAGCCTGGTGTTAAAGGCCCAGCCCTGCTGCTGGTCTGTGACTGGGTCTGTGGCCTAGAAAGCAAACAAGCTGGCCTCCACTTAGGTATATACCCACAGCGGGGAGACGCACTGTCCCATTCCCACCCTGGGACCCATCAGAGCCTTTCCGGGCTCAAAAATTAAACTGCCCAGAAAATCTTAATTCCCACCTCCACCACAAAGAAAAGGTAGGTTGAATGTACTATATGCTGCTGCCCCCTGCCATATCCCAATGGCTTTTCTAGTAACCCTGTGAGTTAGGGACCACTAGGCCCCTGTCCTTCAGATTAGGAGAAGAGGCTCAGTGATGTGCCTTTGCTAAAGCGGGGAGGTAGCAAAGCTGGGACTCCAAGCCCAGTGGCTCTCATAGATCTCAGAGGTCACCACAGGTTCCCGCGTTAGGGCAGTATGTTGCACCTCCAGGTTTCTGGCCCTCCCTTCTCCAAGGCAGGAGCCAGGCTCGAGCCCTGCCAGGCACAGTCTGGGATGAACCACAAGAGAAAACAAAATACTTTTCTTGGTGAGGGGTCACAGCAGATGCTGTTCCAGAGCCAGCAAAACTGGTCCTTAGGCTGTAAGAACAGAATGTGCAAAGAACCCTTGGGCAGCCCAGTGAGACACTATGCTGGCCCCCTGGTGGGGCTGGTCCCCGAGAGGCCCTGAGCTGGGTGGTGCCCCTTCAGAGGCACAAGCAAAATGTCCCAGCTGGGATTACGTGTCTTGCTGTGTGCCTTCCACCCAGAGGTCAGGAGCGCAGGTGTGTCACCAGGCTCACTCTGATCCCAGACCTGCCACGTGGTAGCTGAGTGACTGCAGGCTAGCTCCCTAAACTTCAAACCTCAGTTCCTTTGTGTGTAGAATGGGTACCATGTTTCCTGCCTCCAAGGCTGCTGGAAGGCGTAAGTTAGAGAACGAAAGATAAATAGTCCTGGGAACACAGCACATACCCAGTTCCAACAAGGTGCCCTGCAAGACACCACTGCCATCCCCTCTCCCTTGCTAACAAAACGGTCTCTTCAGAGATGTAATAGCCCAGCCCAGGCAAGAAATCCTGAGGGGTCTAAGCCAGAGTTTCCCTACTGGAGGTGATTTTGCCCCTTGGGCAATGTCTACAGACTTGTTGGCTGTCACAACTAGGGGAATACCTCCAGCAGCTGGTGAGTGGAAGCCAGGGATGCTGTAAACATCTACCGTGCCCAGGATGGGCCCCACGACAAAGAGCTGTCTCTAAACTTTGCTGGTGCCAAGGCAGAAAACCCTGGGGGAGGTTGTCCTGTCCCCACCTTCCCAACCTCTCTTGCAGTTGAGTAGATGCCTGGTGACCAGGAAAATGGCCAATGAAGCCTGGGAGAAAGTCAGCGGGCTTCTGGGAAGGCCTCTGCCTCCGCAGTGGCAGGGACAGAATTGCTTGGCTATGCTCTGGTGGTTGCAGGAGCTGCTCTGCAGGAAAGGTCCCGATCACAGAGAGGCTGGTCCTAGTCATCCACACACTGAATCAGTGCCTGAGGCTGCCACCATTTGACATCTTGTCACTGAGAAAAATCAACTGTTTCAGTTACTCAAACTACATTACTCCATTATTTGTAACCAAGTACATTCTTAACAGATACAGAAGCTACTGGCAAAAGAAGACAGAATCCGCACCATCTGTGAGCTTTAAAAAAGGAAAAGGAAAAACCAAAGTCCTCACACTCATGATGGCCCATAGGACCCTCTGTGACCAGCACCTCTTTCTCTCTGACCCCACTTCACTTCCAGCTTTCCCTGCTGGCTGCAGATGTGCCCCAGGCCGAGTCTGCACTGTTTCCGCTACGTGAAAATTCCTGCTATCGCTATTCTTCACTGTGATTCTTATCCTTTAGGTCTCGGGATTGCCCACCCATCTTACCCCAGGCTGCCTTCCACCCTGATGCCCTCTTATTCCCTGACATCTCAATTTATCTTTGCTGGTTTACCTGCTGATTCTCCCTCCTTCTCTGACAGTGTACCCAGTGCAAAGAGCACGGTGCATGGCAAGAACCCAACCATTTACTAGGAAAGAGGAAAGAAAACAAAGTTCTTGCATTTCACTGTATTTATTAATTCCATTTCAAGACTGTATCATTCAAAAAGGTCATCTGAAAATTCTTCTCTAATTTACATTTTTTTTAAAAAAAATCATGAATGAAAGTCTTTAAAACCAATTCTGCCCAATCCTGGGCAGTTTTAGAGCAAAGCCATTCTGGAGAGCTGCCACAACCCCAGAGCCCCAGCTGGGCCCACCTCTCAGCCAGGTATGGGGTCAGTAGTCCACACTCCGCATGGCAGCCACTGTGGTGGCGAGGCGCCGGGGCAGGCCTTTGCTAACCTGTCTGTAGTCCTCAGGCTTGGTCTTCAGGAGTGTCCCAATGTTCTGGAGGGCACAGGAGGGCTGTAGGCCCAGGGCGTCCATCACATTTATCAGGTAGTCTGTGGGGTAGGGGACAGAGACTCAGCACCAGGCAGGACAGGACTCACAAGGTCTCTAAGTAAGAAACAGGGATGCTACCCCAAGCTCCAAATGCTGTGTATGCCTGTTCTGCCCTTAGGAGGAGGCCTTTACTCTGAGGTTTTTCCCAAGAGGGTCAGATCTGACTGTGAGTTAGGCCCCAGTCCAGGAATTCCAACTTAGTAAAGGATCAGCAACATCCAGAAGCTCCTACTAGGGACTCCTGGGTTCCTGGCCCTGCTCCCCAGTGGCCGGCACTGACCCCTGGGGTTCTTGAGACACATGAGCTCATCACAGCAGTTACCAAAGTCTTCCCAGCAGAACCTCCACCATGAAGACAAGGACAGTGCTGGGAGTAGTGGCCTAACACAGCACAGGTTCCCACACTTCCCAGATGGCGGCCCACTGGGGTACTAGTTAACAGATTACTGAGCCCACCCCAGACCACATCGGTGAGATTCTCTATGAGACCGTCCGAGAACTCTAAGTACCAGGCAGTCTGGACAACATTAGCAGAGTAAAAGAGACCTTGGTAAAGTCCCTCAGCCTCTCTGTACCCCTATTCCCACCTGCTGGTGCAGCTAATATCCACCACACTGAGTATTAAGACAAAGGCCACGAAGGCACTAGACGTGCTGTAGGAGGTGGAAAAATGGGTGCTGCCTTTCCTTCCTCCTTCCTGGGTGGGGACAAACCTAAGGGACCATTACACATAAATTCCTGCTCAAAAGGCCTGGAAGACAGCAGCACCCAGAAGGTCCCTCCTTCCTTTCCAATTACTGCCCAGGTTAATCTCTTCTCCCAGGCAGACTGGAATGCCAGCCATGTCCTACATCTTCCGCTGTCTTCTTCTGAGGCCCAAGTCAGGGGAAGTTGCTTCCCAGAAAGGGTGCTACCATCAGTCAGGTACCTGTCTCCTACACAAGTATACGCATAAAACTGAACTCCATTCGCCTGCAAGCCAGGAACTGTAAAGTGGAAGCCCGTGGACCAACATGACATTTTTTTTTATTGTTGTTCAAGTACAGTTGTCTCCATTTCCCCCCTACTACTCCCGCACCCCAGCCATTCCCATCTCCTACCCTCAATCCTACCTCCCTTTGGTTTTGTCCACATCCTTTACAGTTGTTCCTGAAAACCCTTCCCTCTTCCCCCCATTATTCCCTCCCACCTCCCTTCTGGTTACTGTCAGATTGTTAACTTCAATGTTTCTGGTTCTATTTTGCTCGCTTGTTTGTTTTGTTGATTAGGTTTCACTTACAGGTGAGATCATATGGTATTTGCCCCTCACTGCCTGGCTCATTTCACTTAGCATATGTTGTCCATATCCATTTATGCTGTTGCAAAGGGTAGGAGTTCCTTTCTTTCTGCTGTGTAGTATTCCACTGTGTATATGTACCACAGTTTTGTGATCCATTCACTTACTGATGGGCACTTAGGTTGCTTCTAGCACTTGGCTTTGTAAATTGTGCTGCTATGAACATTGAGATGCATAGAGTCTTCTGGATTGGTGTTTTAGGGTTCTTAGCATATAATCCTAACAGTGGAATTGCTGTGTCAACAGGTAGATCCATTCCTAGTCTTCTGAGGAAATTCCATACTCTTTTCCAAAGTGGCTGCACCAGTCTGCATTCACATGAACAATGCACTAGGGGTTCCCTTTTCTCCACATCTTCTCCAACACTCG